TGAGATACCACCTTACACCAGTTAGAATGGCAAAAATGGACAAGGCAAGAAACAACAAATGTTGGGGAGGTTGTGGAGAAAGGAGAACCCTCTTACACTGTTGGTGGGAATGCAAGTTGGTACAGCAACTTTGGAAAACAGTGTGGCGGTTCCTCAAAAAATTAAAAACAGAGCTCCCTATGACCCAGCAATTGCATTACTCGGTATTTACCCCATAGACACAGATGTAGTGAAAAGAAGGGCCATATGCACCCCAATGTTCATAGCAGCAATGGCCACAATAGTCAAACTGTGGACAGAGCTGAGATGCCCTTCAACAGATGAATGGATAAAGAATATGTGGTTCATATATACAATGGAATATTAATCAGCCATCAGAAAGGATGAATACCCAACTTCTACATCAACATGGATGGGACTGGAGGAGATTATGCTAAGTGAAATAAGTCAAGCAGAGAAAATCTATTATCATATGGATTCACTAATTTATGGAACATAAGGAATAGCATGGAGGACATTAGGAGAAGGAAGGGAAAAATGAAGGGGGAGAAATTGGAGGGCGAGATGAACCACGAGAGACTATGGACTCCAAGAAACAAACTGAGGGTTTTAGAGAGGAGTGGGGTGGGGGATGGGTTAGCCCGGTGATGGGTATTAAGGAGGGCACGTATTGCATGGAGCACCGGGTGTTATACGCAAACAATGAAGCATGGAACACTACATCAAAAACGAATGATGTACTGTATGGTGACTAACATAGTAAGATAAAATAAAAAAGAATGTATTTGCTAAATGGATAAAAACCAGGCAAAACTGACTACAGAGTCAATTCATTTAGAATTAATTTAGAATAAAAAGAATTCAAGCAGGAACGACTCAGATTCTTAAAGAAGTAGGTGCTCTCCCCCAGTAACTACTGCCTCTGAACTGGAGGCCAACTGTACTAGGCCCCAATCCCTTTCCACATGAGTTCTCCAGGGAGCCAAGAGAAGAAGGTCTCTACATAACCAGCCAGCTTAGCTAATTCAGACTCTAAGTCCTGGTCCTAGGCCTTAGGGGTGTGACAAAGCATCTAGATTCTCCAAACATTATTCCATGTCCTAGATTAGAGCTTGCCACTTTTCAACAACCATCCCTTACTGTCTTATGAAATAGTCTGTAAGAAAATGAGACAATGGGAAAGGGAGTAGGAGTAGGAGCTGAGGCAGAAGAAAAAGCAGAGCCTTTTAAGGGAAATGGAAACTTCTCCAGACCCCAGATTTCTATCTTCAAGCCAGAATTACTCAGACATTCCTTCCTAACTCTCCAGAAGAGTCTAATCCTTCCTAGGCAGGATGGCAAGGCTGAGAGGTACACAATAGGGTGGTCAGTCCCTGGTTTTCTCACTGAGCAGTAGGAAAATCTTTCTAACACTAGAAAAAGCAGTATGGAGTGCCCAGGGGTTCTTTTAATAGCCCTACTTAAGACAGGGCCTGGGTAAAGTAATCCTGATATAACAGTCCATGAAAAGAAACCCAGGAAATAAATGGCTACTGCCCAATTGAAGACTGTGAGAAACGGGTTTTCTCCAGTGCCACTGCCCCATCCCTCTTAGGGTCCAAGCCAAGAATAATAGGATTTAATGCTGCTTCTAAAGTACATACAGTCCCAGGTAAGACAAAGCCTTCTGTGACTTACAAATGGAACTTCTCTTCCCAAACAGGATTCAGGTTCCCAAAAATAGTCTTGGTACGCTTCTTGGTTTTGCCCACTTGCACAGTCACGTAAGGGTCACTGGATCCTGTCTTGTCCTTGGCTTGTAGGCCCTGGGCACACACCACTGCAACCCAATTACAGAGGAGGAGGCTTTAGAGTACACTCCAGAAGTCAGAAGTCCTCCATAGCACCACTCATATGTTCTCCATCTTAGAGCAGTCTCTATCTGCTCCTTGCAAGGGAACACTAATCTCAGTCCTCCACATCTACGCTTAGTCCTGGGCCACCAGCCTTTCTCTCAAAGGTTGGCCCAAGAATCCCACCTGCTCACCAGAGCCCTAACTGACCACTTACCCCTATATTGATATATACATGCTTCAGCCACACCCACCAAGCTAGTAAAGCACTAGTTTAACTATTCCCTGATCTCCTACCTATCCTGTTTCCCCCACCCCTAGCTCTTGTAATATGAGACTGTTAACCAAGTATATAACATCAGATTGTTACCAAATTCTTCATTATCATTCATATCACTTGTAGATGCTGGCCTTGCTCTCCCAATACCTGATGGCACCAGGGTCTAGGAGAGGAGGAAGGCCCTCCCTTCTTCCCTCAATTCTATCTTCTTTCCCTCTAGCCCCCTGTTCCCTCAACTCAGGATGCTTCTTCCCCAGGTTCCTCCCCACAGCCTAGGCCTTCCTGTCCTCTCAAACTTTGGCCTACTCACCAGTGATGGTAATTTTGGCCGACCATTTGGAGGTGCCATCCAGTACACTCTGCTTCACTGTTTTCATCTGTTGCACATGGGCAACTTTGCTCACAGTAAAGACATCTCGGATAACCTCAAAGATCTCTGGCTTATTCCGCTCTCGGATCTTCATGCGGTCCTTCATGGCCATGATTATGTTCTGGGTCCGGTCCTCAGCTCCATGTTTAGAACTTTTTTCTGCAGCCCCTGAATAATGACCAGAGACAGAAAGTAAGATAACCAATAGGCACCCACCAGACCAAGGGTCAAGCTGAGGAATGGGGCCTGGGAGAGGTCACTGAGAAGTAGAAGGAGCTTAACACTGGGATGGCCCTGGGAAAAGTTAATCAATATGGGACCTGCTGAAGTTTAATGCCTGGCTAGTGGAATTTAAGTAGCAAAAACTTGATAATTATTATGGGGGTTTATTATACTATTTCACTTAGATATATATTGAATTTTTCATCAAAAAAAGAAAGAAACAAAAAGTGTAGCTTAGCCTGAAGTTGGCCTTGTCTTTCTTCTATCCCACATGGTTGAGAGGTACCCTTCAAGTTTAAGGGCAAAATACCACCAACAGGTATCTCAGTTATTAGGGAGGGTGGGTGGGTGCACATGACAACTCCACCAATCTCATCCAACTTCCAAGCCATGATACATTTCCCAGAGTTCCTCAGAGCATACACTGGATTCTGCCTCAGGACTCTAATGCCTTTAATTTCAGAAAATAATGTAGTATGGAAAGAAAAGTACGGCCTTTGGTATGAGACAGGGTTGGGTTTAAATCCTCACTCCACCACTCCTAGCTGGGTAAACCAGTTTCTTCTAAGAAATTAGCACTTAACTCTCGGGATTGTAAGAAGCATTATGTTAGCATATATAAAGCATCTGGCCCAGAGCCTGGCACCTAGCAGGAACTCAAATAAATGGTCGTTTTTATTGTTACCAGCATCATTATTATCCTGGCAGAGATGCCGAGGGACATCTTCACTGGCTGTGACGCCAGATAGCTCATCTCAGAGGCTAGCAGGTTTTCCCTGCTGTCCTAAGGATTATGGCAGAACAGACTCCTCTGATGTATTTCACCAAATGGGCTTGTCAGAAAGGGGCCCTTCCTTCTTTTACTGGCTCTGCAGACTGGCCCTTACCTCTCTCTATTCTCCAAAGGCTTAGGCCTTTTCTACAAAACCTGGAGCAAAAATTAAGGCAAACATCTGCATCCTAACCCTGGAAAGATGGTAAGTGGATCTTCCGTCACAGGAGGCCCATAGTAGGGCATTTCATTCCACCCTACGCTTCACAGAAGCTTTAGGCAAAAGATACTTTCTGATAAATAAAAAATGACCTGGGCTGCATCCTAGTCTTGCCATTTAGCTAGCATATCCCATGCACTGCTACTTCCTTGGATTAGGACCTCTAGAAGGCCCTTGAGAAAAAGGTAGACACTCTTGCTACAGAGCAGCATTTCAGAAGGTTTCCAGCAAGCTGCCTATACAGTCTGTCTGGCTGCTAGTTCTCAGCAATTAAAGCAAGAGTCTGCTGACACCTGTGCTTCTCACCCCCCCTTATGATGGGTTTGGGCAAAGTCATCACCAGCATTCATATTCAGTCTTTTCAGAGCCCCATCTCTTCCACTGACTTTGTTCTGTTTCTGCATGTCTGCTGTAGCCATGCCACTGGCACCAATCTAGGGCTCTTCGCAGAAAGACATTTTAAGGGAACAATTCTTTGAGGCCTCTCTCTGGGCCCCATTTATGTCACATATCTTTCCTTGCAATAATGAAGTGCTTATGAGTCTAAAGGTAACCTTCCTTTCTCCTCCCACAATCCTTGAAACTTTCTTTGCTATGGCTTAGCTCTGCGTAACACCTGAAAGACCTGGAGGGGCAAAAAAATACTTTCCCAGCAAGGAGCAAGAATTTGGAGGGCTGCCAACTCCTTTGACAGAAACTTGTTGCTTTTCCTGCTCCTATTCGCCCCACTCCATGATGGCACCACAAATCACGTATTTAGTCAGGGTCTTGGGAGTCTGGCACATTCTCCTCTGGGACCTCTGCCTGATCCATTTGATGGTTCTGTTCCTGGCACTGTGTCTAAAAGCTGCATCTATAATCAAGGAAAAAAAATGCCACCTTCCCTGGGTCCTAGGGTCTATACTTTAAGAGGTTCTTCTGTGAAGTGTGGAAACTCACAGAACTCTCTCATTACTTTTGGTCCCCAATTAAACATACTCTAGTCATTTGGGCAATATGGCCACTGCAGCATGTACACTACTCAAGCAGATTCTGGGATCATCTGAATCCTAGAAGAGATCCAGTTCTGTCACAGGGCCACAGAAAGCTCAAAATATGGGCGCCTGGGTGGCTCAGATGGTTAAACGTCTGCCTTCGGCTCAGGTCATGATCCCAGGGTCCTGGGATCGAGTCCCGCATCGGGCTCCCTGCTCAGCGGGGAGCCTGCTTCTCCCTCTGCCTCTCTCTCTCTCTCTGTCTCTCATGAATAAATAAATAAAATAAAATCTTTAAAAAAAAAAAGAAAGAAAGCTCAAAAATGTTTTCCTAAAGGTGCTTGAGTGAGTGCTATAAGACCTGTTATTTGGAAAGGCAATGCCCCTTGACTCAGGACCGTACTTTCTCTGAAAAAGAAAGAGCTTCACAATCAGGAAACCAGAGGAATGACAGTCTAGCCATCCTAGCTCTTTGTTGCAAGGCTATTTTGGAGAGGCCCTGCTGCCCCTGCTCTACACCCCTCACCACAGGGGCACTCACGCTGCAGGCAGTCGGCGTTGAGCAGGTCCTGGCACTTCTCATGGCACTTGACTCCACACTCACTGCAGCGCATGCCCTGCCGGGCAATGCCCCAGAGCAGACCTTCACATTCATAGCAGTAGGTCGGGGTAGTGGCCGTCCAGACCTCAAAGTTGTGAGGTGTGGTGCACGAGATGGGGTAGATTAAGGCCTGCAGGGTTTTCTTATACACATGGGATTTCTGAAAGACACATACCCCATCACCCGCCAACAACTTTAGGTCTCTGCTAAAGAGAGATACCAGAACTGAGATCCTTGCAGGGTAATCAAGACCCTGGTTTCTCCTCTGGCAATAAAGGAGATACTCTAGCCTGGCCCAGCCCATAGCCAAGACTGGAAGAAAGAAGCCCCCAATGTCACGTGCTCCTGGTCACCCAAGAGAGATCTGACTTGAATGCTACATCCGAACCTTTTCCCAGCATTCAAGCTTTCTAAGGAAACAGAGGATACTAGCCCCACCATAAAACCCTGAGTTCATCAGTCACATACTCCAACGTGAGACTTGGTCTTACCTTTGTTCTGGCTCCTTGCCTCTTCCAGCGTGGAAAACTCAGACCCAAAGCTTTTTATCTATTTCATTAATGATGTGTGCCCAACACTCTTGAATTCTCAGTTAGTATGGCTATAAAGATGATAACCAGTTTTTAGGCCAGTGGACTCACAAAAGCCCATGGGTCACTTACCAGCTCTTCATCCTTGAGAGAGGTGCGTGTAGCCATTGCAGAAGAAATCCCTGCCTTCCGGGACTGGACCAATGACTGTGAGAGAAGACCTGCTGTCAGCCTTGGCTACTGCCAAGGGCTGGCAAAGTCCTAGGAAGGGAGTTTCAGTGACCAAAGTGACTTGACTACTTGACTTACTACCTTCTCTCTAATTTGACTGTCATTCACAGGGACTGCCCATGGGTTCTAGGTAATAAAAATGCCAAGTTAAGATCTAAAACACAAGATCCTTGGGATATTCTAACAATGTTAGAATGGAACTTCTCTTAGGGCACCTATCATCCAAAGAGTTTCTCTTTCCTTCCCTATTGGTAGGTTTCCTACCCCTCGTTTATAGGAAGGCAAAGGAAAATGACAAGTTTAGAATTACAGTAGGAAACAGGTCATTAAGAACAGAATAAACTATGTCAGAGTCATATTTAAGAACCATCACTGAGAATGATGCCATGCTATCCTTTATCCCTGGGTACCAACCCACACCCACACAATCCCTGGTGGTTATAGAGGCCAGCAGCCCAAATGAGCAGGACACTTGGCAAGTGAAAGGGGCAATGTAACCTCAGTCAATCAAGGCAGGGGATTAAATCTGAGAGCTGGGACTGCTCTGCTAGCCAAGCTGTCATGTAAAGGAACCTAATGTATCTGCCAAGCCCAGGCTTTAGGGACAACCCCTGGAGAGGCACATGGTTTCCCTAGGGCAATGGACACTGGGTAGACAGGAGGTATAGTATCAGCCTAAGCAGGAGAAAGAGTTGGGAGGGGCCCAGTTGGTTTGAGATGTGGATTCTTACGGAGGATGGAAAGGGGCTCTGGAGACACTCACCATAGCCTGTGCAGAGGACAGCAGAGAAAGGAACAACATGATGTTAAAGCCACCCCCAAGAGCATGAAAACACTTGCAGAGGCAACCGAAAGGTTCTTCCCTATAGTCTAATCAATGTAGGGAACAACATCCCAACCCCCTCTGCCTCTATCCACTAAAAATTATCTTCAACCCAGCCAGCTGTCTAGGGCCTAGAGCTTCTGCTCTAAGGAAGAGTTAAGCCAGGAAGTGAAATATAGGCAAGGTTAAAAGATGGAGGATGGGAGTAGGAAATGACTAAGACACTGTCATCCAACTAGTTAAGCAAAGAGCAGCTGGTATGCAAGAGAGAGGGGGTGGGTAGAGGTGGAGAAAAAGTAGGAAGAGAAGAAAAGGGAGATGGAAGATAATGAGAGAAAGTAATAAAGAAGAGATGACCTCAGAACTTATCCTCATCCAACCAGCTTTATGGTAAGAGGAGATATATATTAGAAAGGAGGAAAAAGAGAAAGGAGAAATACACAGGCAGTAGGAAAGAAAGGAAGGAAAGAAAAAAAAAAGAGAGAAAACGGGAGAGGATAATTCCATTCAGCCAACTAAGGATAGAGAAACTGGTGGGGGAAAAAAGAGCAGGGAATGGAGGAGAAATGGGAAAAGGAGTGGATAGAAAAAACAAAATAGACTGGTGGGGGGGTAGAAAACAGTAATAAGAAAAGGGGTTCAAGTCTTACTGAACTTCTAGCTTTAGAGCTCTAGGACTCTGGGGAAAGCCTGGGCCCTACTCCACCCCCATCACCCACTAGGCTATGGAAAATTCCTTGAGTTGATCCTGCCGCAGGAGGCATGACCCAAGTTGGGACCTTCCAGTCATTCTGGAGGTCCTGAGATCAGCTTTAACTCCTAAGCTTGTTTCAATTCAATTCCACAATTTTTTTTTTATCATTACGTCTCAGTGCAAGACACTGAGTTAAGTACTAGGGACATAGAACTACTCCAGAAAAATCTATCCTAGGAGGAGACTGTCACTTTACCTCCAAGGAGTAGCATCAGTCATGCTCATTATACACTAAACTCAATGATCTAGGTCAGGGCTAGAGGCAGTTTCCATTCCAGATCATCAAAGAAGGTTGTAGAGAGGAACAAGATACCTAGAAGACTACTTTGGAGCCCAGCTTTAAGGGCCCAAGCTACAGTTCTAGGTAGGAGCTTTAGCTAATGAAGAACCTGGGGCTCTAATGAGGGAGTAAGATAGAACAAGGCCAACTAAGGTTACATCACTAAGTCTCAGTGAAGCTTTAGATGATACATCTTCAGACCAGAATCTGTCACTAAATGGACCACTACCAGTCCTAAGGGAGGCCCAATGGGAGATACCCCAAGCCTGCAGCCTAAGTCTGCAAAGAGTCACTCACCAGATCACTGACAAGCGGCAGTGGCTTCTTTCTGCGTAGATCTGGCATGCTGTCAATGCCATAGAGCCCTCCAGCTGGCCTGAGGAGAGAAGAAAATATGTCAGGACCTCCAGTCCTGCCTTGTTACTGGCAGGTTCAGTGTTCTATTTTCCTTGCTCACCCTCTCCCCAGAGGAAGATGAACTGATTTCCACCATATGTCTCTGAGAGGGGTAAGGAAGACACAAAGGGAGAGAAATAAAGCCATGGAATGATGAGCAATGGAATCTGCTCTCAGAATGCCCTTCTGAGGCTCCTTCTATAGTTTTAGCCAAAAATCAAGAGCTCTTTTATCCCATAACAACACTTCAAGGCACCTGTTTATTTGAAGGCCTCTGTACTCCATAATGCAAGGAGGGAATTGGTAGTTAAGAGGGCCTCTCCCTACACTCAGGCCAGAGACACTGCTCCCCTAAGATAAGTGTTTCCTATTCTATGCTAGAACAGAGCCCATGAGAATAGCTCTACAGAAGAGCTGCTGCCTAAGTAAGACTGCTAATGACATGTAGGAGATGACCTTCTCTATCCTGAGTAAAAGAGTCACCAGTTCTGTCCATCCAATCCTCCTTAAGAAAAAAGGTCTCCATGGAAAGAGGAGTCTGCATAACCAAATGGAGGCAGGAAAGGTGGGATAGAAGATTTCCAAAAGGCCACTTAGAGGTGAAAAAAGACATTCAGGAAGGAAACAACAGAAGGACTCTGAAAATCTGGCTGAGTCCTGTGGATACATCAACAGGGACCAGGAAAAAAAAATTACAGCTGGAGCAACTGGAGATTTCTAAAATTTTTATAATATCTTTTCTATGCTTATTAATTTTGTTGTTCTTTGCCATTTTTTCCATAACTATATGCAATAACAATAAAGAAAATGTCCTAGAACACCATGCTCACAATGAGATAACCTGGATTTTATCCCCAACTCTTCTACTAATTCACTACATGTCCTGTGCCAAAATTACTTCCTCTCTTTGGGTCTTGATGCCAATTCTATAAAAGGAATGAACTATAAAATTTCTCTGACCTTTTGGAAGCTGTTATTCTGAGCCTCAATAAAAAGAACTCATGAACTTGGCCTTAATGAAAACAAGGAGATGGGAAAGGTGGTAAGGTAGTTGGGTGGTACACCATGACTGGTCTAAAAAGAGATGTTGCAGAAGATTAAGTAGGTACTGCCAGCCAGCTATATAGGCAAAAAATGGAGCCACAAACTAGATCAAGGCCAAGAGTTGCAACAGGCAACCTGATATGTTCATTTCTAATAAACTAGCTTCCTAAACACAGGAAATGAACTTTGCTTTCAATGAGACTACCAGACCTAGGGAAGTTTTAAACCTGTAACAGCTTCCAAGGACTAAGCTAAAGGAAAGACAACAGGGAGGCATTTAGAAAATCACTGCATGGCCCCATTTAAAAATAGCTTAAAAGGGGTGCCTGGTGGCTCAGTCGTTAAGCATCTGCCTTCGGCTCAGGTCATGATCTGAGGGTCCTGGGATGGAGCCCCGCATCGGGCTCCCTGTTCAGCGGGGAGCCTGCTTCTCCCTCTCCCATTCCTCCTGCTTGTGTTCCCTCTCTCGCTGTGTCTCTGTCAAATAAATAAATAAAATCTTAAAAAAAAAATAGCTTAAAAAATTAAATATACAAATAACTTAGCTATGTTCCATTGTCATGTATGTATTTTACAACCATTAGAAGAAAAAAGCTAAAGTTCCAAAGAAGGTCTGTAGAAAAAGCAACTGGTACCACAAGTTTGTGGTTAATTCTAAAAACTATAATATGTACCACTTAAGGATTTTGCAACATAAATGAGCTTCAGACAACAGAAAAAAGGATAGTTCATTCAAATGACCAACTCTTGATTTAAAAAAGACAAATCACAAAGAAAAGGAGCATGTAAACATATAGTAGATAACTTTATGATCTGATCTTATTTCTTCCCCGGTCATGAGGGAGAGGAGGCATCCACTGGGAACTCTCATGTCAAAAGGCCTATATGGGACAAGGAGAGAAAGAAGATTCTGAGAAATAATGGGCAGTTTATGTGCCAGGGGAAGGAGGGGGAGGCACTTAAACTCTTTCCTCTCAAGAACAGTCAGTTATAGGCAGCAGTTGAGCAGCTTAAAATGACTCTCTGCTGCAGTCACATGGGTCTGAGACTCTCAAACAAGAAGCACAGACAGAACACACTGAGCTCATAAAGGATACTACTTATGTCTTGACTAGAGTGGAATGGAATAAGTAGGTGACTCACATCAGCTGAATTCAGGACAGAACCCAGAGAGTAATCTAATCAACTACACTATCAACAATGGAATAAAAAAGAACTGTGTCAAACACAGATATTTTTCTAGTTTCCTCTTTCTTCTACCTAAAGGGTATATCATTACTAAGATGCAATGAATCAGAAATTCTAGAGGCAAGGATAGGGAAGCCCCAAGTCTCCCTTCCCTGCTCCAGGGGAACCACTCTATAAAGCTCTCTCTTCTGTCTCTGAGCAATCAGTCTGCAGAGTTCTCTCCTCTCCCCAGAGAACCAACCAATCTGTATAGTAGAGCCTCTTCTTTCCCAGGATCCAATTTATGGAGCTTTTTCTACTGCTTCCCAGGGGAAAAGCTGGAAGTCACGTGAGAGACTATAAAATCCAAAGAAACCTTGTAGGGAATCACTTACCCTTCCGGGAGCCACTGGGGCAAAGAGGGGTGACCATCATCTGGAATCTTTAAAAAGAGATAGAAAAAAAGTTAGATCCTAGAAAAGATGGGAGATAGCCATCTTTCTTTGGTCAGGCAGTGAGCAGTAAAGTAGGAAGCTCAGGAAAGTGTAGGTTACATACAAAATGTGGTGACATAGCCAGACTGATGTCTAAGCCAATGCCCTGATCAGCCAGAGCAACAAGCAGGTTGCTGAAATGAGAACTTCCTTGTCTCCCTTCTCCCCAGTGAATAGGAAGATATAAAGTCAAGCTCACTGAGATCTCAAGGCTAAGGTTTCACTGGGGAGTGTGAGAGGTGCCAGAACTTATATCCCCCTCACACAATCCACTGGTATACATAACAGTAAGCCAAGGCTTACAAAAAAAAAAAAAAAAAGGTCCACTTGGGGCTTCCAGGCCTCTTAAGAAAAAGGACAACTTCATATAGTCTTCTAGTTACATTCGTAGGTTCCCTTTGCTGTCACAGAGTGGTGACTTGGTCTTTCTGGATTCCCATCTCATCTTGTGATTTGACTTGGCTTAGGTTCCTTAAAATTCTAATTCATAGATACTCTACATTTGATAAGCTCTCTCTATATATAACAAGAGAACCCAGGGTAGATTAGATACTTAGATTATCTTCTGGTGGACTTTATGAGCTCTATAATGAGAAATTGAAAACTGAGATACCAAACAATTCAAGGAAGAAACAGTTTGAGAACAGTTTTTAAAGGTTTCTCCATAAACAAACGAATGAACAAACAAACCCACAGAAAAAAAAAATCCTTTAAGCAGTGTACAGAACAAAGTTCCAAAGCTTCCAGGGCTCTCCAGAGAACCAATGGTAAATGCTGTTTAGGCTCAATAAACCTAGTGCTAGCAGGTCTGGGGCTTCCTGCCCCTTCCTTGTTCCCTTCCACCCCCCAAAACTTTCACGCCTCCTGATACCTGGGCTCCAGCTAATTATCCTGGAACAAACGAGCTCCAAAGCAGGGAAGGCAGAAGCAAGGTGTTTAACTTTGTACAGGGGGTGAAGTTTTGGGAGAGCCACAGAAGGGAGAAGTTATAGATAAAATTAGGCAAGACAAAGTAGAGAAAAGAGAGGTAGGGAGGGTTAGGACAGCCATGTATATAGGGTGATGTAAAAGTGGGTAAGAATTACCCTGGGTCAGCAGTAGGCTCAAGATGAACTTTGGACTTAAGACCCTTCTCACATTGTATTCTAAGCAAGCCTATCTGCCTATTGCCTACAGCCCTTCATGAACCCATTTCACCTTATCTGGCTCTTGTCCTGGTTCTGTGGGTGGGATAATACCGGCAAAACGACAGCCAAGCCCAAAAGGAAACCAGAAGTGGTTGATACACATCTCCTAAGGTTGCTTCTGAGGGGCAGCCCTATCCCTAAATCCCCAAATCCTACCACCCAGGACTTATCTTCCCTTTGAAAATAGTCACTCTACTGAGCAGATTTTTATTTCCTACCTAGAATTAGATGTTTGTCAGAAACCACAGACCTTAAGGAAACAAAGTCACAAAAGGTCTCTGGGAACCAGGGTTCAACAAGCTCAGATCATACACATTTAGAGGAGACAAAGGATCTGCTAAAGCCTGCAGACAAAGCATAGAGCATGCACACAGAGGTACTGAAGGAGGACTGAGAGTGAGAGGAGGTCTAGATAAAGTACCTACAGCAGGTACATTCATAGACACAACTTATGCCTGAGGGAAACACAAGGTGATCATGGATCCTGCACATAGGGTGATGAAACGTGTGCACATCCATTTGAAGAAGGATTCACCGTTCACCAGGGCTGGAATCACAGGCAAGAGCAAACCCTCACTGTCTTCAAGAACCAGTGCTTACAGGCACAAAGCATTAGTTATACTGTGCATTCACATGGCATGGGGGAACCACATCACAGGTCTACAGAAGCTTGTGCTCACAGAGAGACCAAGAAACCTGCTCAGAAGCACAAAGCACATTCACACTTAGGACCCCAGGCAAAAGGCACAAAATGCCCACAGCAACTCCTGCTCCCAAATACAAAGTGTATGCATGCTGGGCTCAGCAAGGGTTTACAGCATATGCCAACCTGCAGTAACAAGCAAAAAATGGACAAACACTGTGCAAAGTAGAAGAGGAGGGCAATCAGTGTTTGGGGTAGTCAAACTGAGTACGAGTATAAGCACACACATGCTACAGTGAATGTGCACCATGCTGGCACACACATTCTCACACTGTGCTCCAGGGATGTCTGCATACAAGAATGGAGCATGCCCACAAACTGCTTTCAGGAAAAACAGACTATCTGCATGAGCCAAAGCTCAGAGGCACAGATCATACACATGTGTGCATGCGCGCACGCATACACACACATGCACACACACACACACCGTGCTCAGGAGAGAAGGGTTGAAAATAGACAACAAAAAAGGCCCAAAGGGCCAGAGGCACAACCTGAACAGCTCCTCGCTTTCCTTCTGCAAGGAGAGAAAGAGCAGAAAAAAAGGGCAGAAAGGTTAGTAGATTCAGTCCCATAGCACGGAACCCAAAGAAAATGCCAGCTAAATCTCAAGGAACAAAGAAGAAAGGAAGAGGTCCTCTGAACAACTGGGCAGTTCACAGAGCCTAGTTTCCAGAATCCTTACCTCCTGTATTGGCTGGCCCCTCCTTTTAGTTTAGACCATTCCCGGTTTGGCTACTCAAACTAAAGGACAAAGTCTAGCGGGGGATTTCAGTCACCCTTTTCCAAACTGGCCTGCATGCAGCGTCATGGAAACCAGGGCCACAAGCTTTGTTACCAAGGGCCACTCCAACAGGCTACCTGAACTAGCTAAGCACAAAGTGAGTTCCTTCCTCAGAAGCTATGTGTACTTACTCTGGATCTGAGATAAGTCCTCAAACCCCAAAGGCCTGGTAACTGGACCCTTTCCATTTTACAATGCAGGCTTGGCAATGCATTTGCCCAGCAAACCCTGGCCTGTTTTCCCAAAGCCTAAGTTAAGTTAGGACAGGTTAAGGCCTGAAGTTAAGGCTAGGACCAGGATGCTCAAAGGCTATAGTTGGGGGCATCACTTGGCCACTGCCCCAACAGAAGTCACCATGATCTAGATGATAAAACCATGACAGCAGCCCCAGGCCTGATTATCTATTAAATCCATAACAATACTCCAAAGGATATGGATGCTTCCAGAAGGACTTTAGCAAGCCACAGTAGAGGAAGATACAAGTCCAGAGATTACTACTTCTCCTATTCATCAGACTACATTGCTTACTAGGACACATATGGAGAGCTCCACAGGTTTCCTTCTCTAAGGCAAGTCCATTCACCCGGGCCGATCAGCTCTCCTCCACTTTCTTTTCTCTCCCTTTTAAAGACCCACTGATATTACATAATAAGTAAAAGGGAGAATCAGAAACTAATTCATAAGTTTCCAATTTTTCAGTTATTTCTAATGGCCTAATGGGTCACCTGACTTGACAGAAGAGTGAACTCAGGAGTAGGAATCCTCCAAAACAGTGCACCTACAGGAATGTAGGTGAAATGCAAAAGACACTTGCTGGAATGGGGCCATATCTCTTCTACATCTACTCCCACCTCCCCTACTGTACTCTGTTCTCTTTGAAAAAGAAAATTAGGCAAGGAACACTTTAACGGACCTGTGATTCAAATTGGAAAGGTTTCTCTCTATCTCCACTATCTTAAAAATACACTACACATCATGTCAAAGTTAATTTGTGTCTTTCTATTCTTCCCAGAGTTCCCCATAATGCCTAAGAATCTGCTGACAAGGCTCTCCATATAATATATATAATTTTACCCTTGTAGCCTGAGGGCTTAGCACATTTCCTATCATTTGTCTATAGTGAAAGGAATCTGAACTTTCAGGACTTAGAAAACAATAGCTTCTAAGAACATGTGTTTTGCCCATCACCAGAGAAAACATAGGTCTCTTAGCCAATAGTCTGTACCATTTTTCAGACTCCCAGGAACTGCTGTACTAGCTCTTCAGTTTGTCCCATCCACTGGACAAACATAACAAAACCTTTTTCTTGCTAAGAGTCAAACTTTTTGTGCTTCCTAACTTCCTAAAATGCCTTAACATTTTTCCACTCAGATTTAGTTTTAAGTGCAGTGTATCTATAGAACACCCACTCTGCCAAGGAAAAAAAAAAATCTCTGACCCCCAAAAATGATTGCACTCTTCCAGAGAATACATTTTATAAGGAAGTGACATACTTCCTCATTATTAAAACAATCTTAACTTCATTGTCCTTGGGAGTCAAAAGACTTGAGGCACTCAACTTATTTGAGCCTGCATTTCCTTATCTGTAAAAAGCAGATAAGAACACTACCTCCCAGGGTTATAGTGAGGATTCATTTCTTCAACAAGTACTTACTGAGTACCTACTGCACACCAGGCACTGTTTTCAGTGCTGGTGATGAAGCAAAGATAATGAAACAAACTGCCTGATCTTGAGAAGCTTCTATTCTAGAGGAGGAGCTGACGACTAATAATGACAAAGACAATGATAGTAGCTAACACTATGTGAACATATTATGTATCTGACAGTTTATTTGAATAAGCTCATTTATTTCTCCCAACAACTCTACTGGGTAAATACTATTATTATCTCCATTTTTTTGTTGATTAAACTAAAGATCATCAGAGAGGTTAAGAAAGTTGCCTGAAGTCACAGCAAGGGGCAAAGCCAAAATTCAAAACAGTAATTTGGTTCCAGGATCTGGAACTATATACACACCATATCACTCGTGATAGAGACTCTGCTTCAGAATTCAGGTAAGGGGGAGGGAGGAGATAATGCTCCCTATGGTGATGTTACAGTTACTATTATATTTTTTTAAAGATTTTATTTATTTGAGAGAGAGGGAGAGCGAACATGAGTGGGAGGAGGGGCAGAGGGAGAGGGAGAAGCAGACTCTCAGCTGAGCAGGGAGCCTGACACAGGGCTCAATCCCAGGACCCTGAGATCATGACCTGAGCCAAAGGCAGACTCTTAAC